CTCACAGCCTCCCCAGCCCATCGTGCCCCCAACCCTGAGGGACCCCCACTCACAGCTCTCCCCAGCCCTGAGGGAGCTCCCACACCATTCCCCCAAGCCCTGAGAGACCCCCTCACAAACCTCTATCCCGACTCTCAAGAACCTCTCCCCACTGTGCCCCCAGCCCTGTGGGACCCCCGCTCACACCTCCCCAGCCCTGAGGGACCCCTGCTCAGAGGTCCACCGGCCCTGAGAGACCCCTGCTCACACCCCCCCAGCCCTGAGGGACCCCCACGCACAGCTTCCCCAGCCCTGAAGGTCCTTGCTCACAGCTTTCCTCAGCCCTAAGGGACTCCCGCTCACACCCCCCCCCAGCCGTGAGGGACCCCTCTCACAGCCCCTCCAGCCCTGAAGGATCCTTGCTCACAGCTTTCCTCAGCCCTAAGGGACCCCCGCTCACACCCCCCACCAGCCCTGAGGGGACCCCCGCTCACAGCTCCCCCAGCCCTGAAGGTCCTTGCTCACAGCTCTCCTCAGCCCTAAGGGACTCCCGCTCACAGCTCTCCCCAGCCGTGAGGGACCCCTCTCACAGCCCCTCCAGCCCTGAGGGACCCCCGCTCCCAGCCCCCAAGCCCTGAGGGACCCCCGCTCACACCCCCCCAGCCCTGAGGGGACCCCCGCTCACAGCTCCCCCAGCCCTGAAGGATCCTTACTCACAGCTCTCCTCAGCCCTAAGGGACTCCCGCTCACAGCTCTCCCCAGCCGTGAGGGACCCCTCTCACAGCCTCCAAGCCCTGAGGGACCCCCGCTCACAGCTCCCCCGGCCCTCAGGAACCCCGCGCCCCCTACAGCCTTGAGGGACCCCCGCTCCCAGCCTCCAAGCCCTGAGGGACCCCCGCTCACAGCTCCCCCGGCCCTCAGGGACCCCGCGCCCCCTCCAGCCCCTCAGGGACGCCCCAGCCGAGCCCCCCCCACCCCGCCGCTCCAGGGGGCTTCCCCCGGACTGTACCATTCCCGCCTTACCCGGCCCCACGGGCTGCCGCGGGGGGGGGTTCCGGGGGGGGTGGGGGGTGTTACCGCTCTCCCACCTTCCTCCCCCTCTCCCCATGCGTGGTACAGTCTGCTCCTACCTCTCGGCGCCCTCACTTCGCCCTCCCGGCGGAGCCGCGAGTGGCTGGGGGGGGAGCCATAGCCGCTGCCTCGTCTTCCCGCTCCGTCCGCCCTCCCCTGCTCCCCCCCCACGGGCCGGACACAGTTGGTTTATTCCGAGAAGCCGGCCGGTCTTCTCCTCTTAAACCGCTGGGTCTCGCACGTCTTCGGCCATTTCCGACCGAACCGGCGGAAGTTGCCGAAGTGGCGGCGGAACTTAACGAAGAGGGGCGGCGATAGCCGAAGCGGGGGCGGAGATAGGCGAAGCGGGGGCGGAGATACCCGAAGGATTGAGGGCGGGGAGCAGCAGCGGGACTCTCGCCTCCGGAACCTGCCGGGAACAGCCGAAGCTTCCCCCACAGCTCGGCTCTCCGCACTACGCATGCGCGCCGCGCCCGGCCGCGTTTTCCCGCCTAAAAGGCAGGCGCGCGCCCCCGTCGCTCGCACCCTCCGCTGCCCTCACGGAGGGGCCGCCATGTTGGCAGTGTCCGATGCCGCCTCGAAGGGGCGGCCGCAGTCCGGCCCTGTGGGAAAGCAGCCCTGTGTGTCCTCCTAAAACCCTGTCAGAGTGTTCCCCCGGCACTCAAACAGTCCGTGCAGTGCCGTGTATCCCACAAGAGCCTCGTGAGGATGCCCCCATGGAGCTCCATCACGCCTCAGCCCTATAGCGATGTGGACGCAATGGTTGCCGCTGACCCGCTGAGACGTCCAGGTGCCTCCTGGCAAAAGAGGTTAGGGAAACATTTGTGTTGTGGGAAACTGATCAGCAGGTACTAAAACACCACTGTGGTTTGGAGTTTGTTACAAAATAACAGCCAGATCCACGCCGCAGGGTTGGTGTGAACAGCATCGGTGGTTGAATGCTGTGAAGTCAGAGGAGACATGTAGAAATAACCGAGTACCAAACATAGCATGCAACAGATGGTAACTGAAGCAAAAGAGGGGGGAAAAAAAGCAATGAAAAAATAAAGGAGGGGGGGAAAGGCAAGTGTAACAGTGCCAGCATCTTCTCACCACAAAACCACGTTGCACAGGTCCAGTCCTCTGTTTATGCATTCTAATTTTATATATTAGGAGCTCCATGAAAGGCATTTGTATCTATGGCAATCAAATCCCACACCCAAACACACAATATGACAACTTTGGGGGAATTAGAGGGTTTTTCACAGGAAGAAATGGGGGTTTATCTCCAGAAGTAAAGAGGCTGGTGTGTTTCTGGCCAAAAAGCTCCAGGAATCTCAGCTTTAATAAAACATGAGCACTTCAAAGAGGCGAAAAAACACTTTTCCATCACTCTGCACTTTTTAACAGTCATTTACACATGTGTAAAGAATGCAAGGAGAAACTAACTTTTATTCTGAGATGAAAAACCAGTGAGGGGTGAGGCGGGGGCACAGGTCTGCCCTTTGATAAACAATACAAAATCCAATCTCACTGCGGAGAACGTGCTGTACGGAAGGGCAGGAATAGGTACTGCAGGTTCAAAGGCTCAAAGAAACAATACTTTTTATATTTTATCAGGGCAAAAATTTTAAAAATACTATGACTACGGCACAGTATAAAGGCTAAATTAACATTCAAATCACTGAACACACCCACGTTGTCCTACCACACACATCTGTTCCCACTGTGCCACGGCTCGGGGTTTTATATTCCAGCCTGATCTACTCGGAGCTCTGCAGGAAGAAGCAGGGGGACAATCATTCCCTTCAGGTCCTCACCGAGGAGGAAACACCAGAGGAGAATCACTTCAGGGACAACTCAGGAGAACAATTCCTCTCCCAGCCCCCAGAAGAAAAGAAGCTGTCAGGATCAGCAGCCAGTCTGGCAAGTCTCCCTTTCAGGAAGCACTATCAAGGCTATTATAGATTATACTGACAGAGACACCTTCAGATTTAATCCCCTTCTCTTTGCGTTTCCCCTTCTTGTTACAGGAATTGGTTTTAAAGAGGCATTTTTAGCTTCCCTTCTACCAAGTGAAAAATCCACTGCTCCACTGCCTTCTGATTATCCCAAAATAAAAATTACTGTATTCAAATACCCTCATTTCCCACCTATTCTGCCATCCGGGCTTTTATTTCTATATACACATAAAATTTTCACATCAGAAATGGATCCTAAAGGGCAGGGTCTATAACCTATGATTAATAATTATTTAAACGAAAAAATAAGTTGCCAATAAAGTTGCTCGACACTTTCCTGGCAAGGAAAAGCCTTTCATTCCTATCAGTTTCCAAACCTGCTTTCCCAAAGGAACAGACTCAATTCACACTGCCAACCCTGTTAGAGACTTGGAAACTTCATGGTGACCTTGAGTTGAAGCTGACAGGGTGGAGGACTAAAAACACTAATCCTCCTGTAGGGAAATGTGCAAATGTAAAGCAAGGCCACCTAAAAAGCAGCCACAGTTTAGATTATGGCCTTCTGTTCAACCTTTAGGAAGAAATTCTTCCCTGTGAGGGTGGTGAGGCCCTGGAATAGAATTCCAGAGAAGCTGTGGCTGTCCCATCCCTAGAAATGTCCAAGGCCAGGTTGGAGATGGGGCTTGGAGCAACCTGGGATGGTGGAAGGTGTCCCTGCCCGTGGCAGGGGGTGGCACTGGAGGAGCTTGAAGGTCCCTTCCAACCCAAATCCCAGTGTGGGATTCTGCTCCCAAAATGACTTCTGTAGACACCTCTGAATCACTTCAGGCCTTATATTTATTACCTTTCGAGTTATTTGGCAGCTGCAGCTGAGCACAGTGAATGCCATCACACCTTTGTGTCCTCTCCATGTAATTGGTCCCCAATTCCCCCCCTTTTCCTTACCCCCACCACATTCCTTCTTCCTCATCCCACTTCCTCCTAAGCATGGCTTGCATCCCAGTGTCTCCAAACTGCTCAAAATTACATTGAGTCATTGCAAGCAGGTATTAAGGAGTTTCAGAGCCAGCTAATGCACATTTCCATGGCACACTTCCATGGCCTGAAATAAACCTCAGAAAAACGTGGAGCAAGGATGGCGGAGAGGACCCTGAGCTTCCATCTTTTCCCTGCTGCAATCTTTTTGGTACATCTTTTTTAATCTCATTCTCCTCCTCTCCACAGCAGACGGTACCAAGGTCGGACCATCTGCGGATTTTACAAGTTCCATGGAATGTTTTCAGACCGCACTCTTAACCCCAGACACTCCTATCGGATTTCATAGGATTCAGCCACTTTCTAGCCCCAGGGTGCTGTAGGTGCTAAATAGATTATCTACATCTCTCAGCCACTATGGAACAACTACACAGCAAAGCTCAGTTTTTAATCCTGCTGAGACTCCGACTGCTTTTGGCCATCAGGTATCCCACGGCTTCACGAGAGGAAATGTTAATCTGGAATGCTGGCCAAACTCCAGTTTAGGTAATTATATTCTGACAATTTACATTTTCCCTGCAGTTTTTCAATGGATGTGGCTTTTTTTTTTTTTTTTTTTTTTTTTTTTTTTTTTTTTTTTTTTTTTTTTTTTTTCTTCCCTTACTTTATGACATAAAAGCAGTGGCCTGGTCGTGCTCCTGCTGTTGGAGCAGCTGCCAGGCTTTGCAGCTTAAGTAGCTGCATTTCAGTGGTAGGTAAAGGCATCTCAGTACAGTTAAATAAAGCCCTTTGAAGACCCACGGGCACGAGGAGTATTGTGACAATGCACCCCACTGCTGGCCATAAAGCATGGCAAGCGCTGGAACATGAAATGAAACACCCAGGAGAGGTATCTCCTGGCAGGAGCAGGAAAGGAAAAGTCAGCACAGGAATGGACACACAGACCCTTCCCTCCCAAATCCTAATTCTGCTTTGGACCCGGTGCAGCCCCAGCTGGGATCCAAAGAGCAAACACAATGAACTGTCAGCACCCTGCACAGAGGAACCAGCTCCTGATAGCAAAAGAAAATAAGCTTATAAAAGTAGTGGAAGCTTTTGGCAAGATGCTGGAGGACACTGCCTGGTGCTTAAATGGGATGAGGAAAAGAAATGCCTGTTCCATTAATGAGGGCACAGTTACTGGTTTTATTTCATCTGGGTTTGTAAAAGAAGAATCATTGGGCAAGAAATGGAGTTAGAAGCTTTTGTTTGGGGTGGAATATTACAGCTCACACTCCGAGTATGTCGAATTGTACTACCACATGCTTGATGAGGGACAAACATTCTAGATTAATTAATTAAATGACTGTATTATCACAGAATCACATAGTGGTATGGGTTGGAAGGGACCTTAAAAATCTTGTTCTGACCCCATTACCACAATGCTTAGTTTATATAACCATTCATAACCACTCTGAGATGTTTTCTTCACAGATGAAGCTTTCTAAAAGGCTCATTTTCCTATTTCAGCAACAATTCTGAGAGATGAAGACAGTGGTGACAAATAAACCATGAAATTCCGGATGGATACAGACACGTGTAACTTTCACTCCTTCCCAGATCATTGTCAACCAAAGGCTGTTACCAGTACTAGGTGAGTATTTTTCACAAGTAGTTTGTTGATCAAAATATGTTTTTCCCCATCCCCAAAATGACCAAAGATTAATTTCAGTGTGATGGGGGAGTGTAATTTCCTGGCTTTTGGGGGAGCTGGACGTGGTGGGAGAGGGTAAAGGTTGAGCAGGTTTCCCTCCCCTTTCTCTGTAACAGCTCACAGTAATTCTACACCAATCCAGCGTCAAAAGAAATTATCTAAAACATATCTAAATAGAACTAATCTGCAGAAATAATTTTTAAAATCCCACTAAGAAGCTTCCATATTGCAATACTCCTGGAAATTCCATGGACTCTTAAGAAAGTCAGAATCCAAAGCAGGAAGCAGCAGCCCAGCCTGGTGACAGCCAAGCAAAACTCCAACTGGATCTTGGCAAAGGCTGAGCAACAGCACAAAATACCAGCGCTGCCTCTGTCCTCAAGGCTCCTTCCCCTTCCAAACCCTGCTGCACTAGGGAATCAGCTGCATTTCTAGAAAATTCCCTTGAATTCCTGGAGTATTACAGCTAACCATGCTTCCCCTTCATCTCAGCACAGATGCTTTGAAGTTTTCCAGAGATACCCAAGGAAGAAGACACATCCAAATACCTAGACTAGCCCCAAACTCCACCCTGGAACAGATGGTGGGGTTCTAAATGCAGACACATCTGGTAACCACTGGTATGAAAAAGCTGGCAGGCATCAGCTTATTCTGCTCTACTAAATATTCCATCATTTGAA